GGCATGTCAGATGAGCTGGTGAGAATGTGATATATCACACTACTTTTTTTTCATATTTAGTCTTTTTACAAAGGAGCCATCACAGACCATGAAGTAGGTATTTCTGACCAGGTATTCTTAACAAAAACCACTGAACTGTCAGCTCAACTACACTGCCTACAGCAAAGCATGTCAGACGAGAATGATGCATGGCACACTCTTCCTTGCACTAAAAAAAAACTAAATCAGAAACATTTACCAAAAATTTAACCACTATAAACCAGGATATAAACTGTTAACTTACCATTTTATCCTATTCACATTTTTCTGAGAGACACAACTGAAAAAGTAAAAATAGTCCTGACCAGATTCACAGATGAGGTGATAATTACATCCCTCCTACACAAAATCCAGCTAAATAGAATGTCTTCAGGAAAAGAAAAAATATATACACTTCCACTTCAACCCATAGGGCTGCTGTGTGATGTTACTGCAATTATTACAGAAGCTGGAGGAGCAAGTGTCACCATTCCTGGCACATGGAGTCTCGTGGGGGTCATGGATGTGCCTGTGCCACACACTCCACCGGCTCTGGTGGAAGGCAGTGAAGGGCCAAATGCAGAAAACTCATTTCTCACCTGCACCCCTTTCTATCAATACAAAAGCCACTCAAATCCCATTTCAGAACCAGCCCCAGGTGAGTTCCTCTCATTCTCTACCCATTTAAAAAGCCTGACCTCCCAAGTTCTTTCCTGGTGCAAAGAATATAATTAATAAGCTGCTCAATCCATCATATTGACCTGCATTATTTTAAATTAAAGTTAATGGCAGCAATGAGAAAATGATTAGAAGGTTAAAATATATGTACTGAATATCTCTGTACCACTTCTTTTTGGTCGTATAGATAAAGATGACATGAAAATACAGCTTTGCCATGGCCAAATCATCACAAGGTACATACATCATGAAGGTCAAATGCTTTTTTCTGTGCCAAACGTCTGGTGCCTGGTACTAACAGACCTCAAAGGTCTGCAACAGTGTTGTCATCCTTTAAACAGCTACCAAGCCAATCATATCTCTAATTTTTTAAAAAATAGTATCTATTTTTCCCCTCGGGACACTCAGGATAAGGAAGTGGATCTCTGTCATCAGGTAGGAACATTTTGTTGTAGGTAGGAAAGGAGTCCATACAAACCATAACTTAGTGCCCAGCTTACAAAATTACTCATTCTGTTCAATGTGGAAAAGATTGCTGATAGCATATAAACAAAAAGTACAAGACAAAACCAAAACTAAAAGTGACAGGCAGCAAATATGTGACGTATTTTCCCTCTTTAGGGAGCACTGATATAAGAGAAAATAGTCTTTGGAGAAATGCTTTTATTTCACTGTTGTAGAATAATATATTCTTGTGGACAAATAATAGATAAATCCATTGTAGGAGTAACTAACACAGTGAGCCATCATAGGGCAATTGCAAGGATTACTGAGGAAGCTGCTGAAAATCTCTCAGGCTCGACATGGCCCAATGATGCACAAACCCAAAATGATTTCCCGGACAGAAATACACCTTTGCCAGCCTGGGACCCCAAATGCCAAGAGCACCACATCAGGTGATGGCTGCATCCCAGAGACCCCTGCAGGACTCACAGCCTCTAAATGACTGCCTGAAGAGCATTTCAGGTGCCATCTGACAAAAGAATGACAAGGGAGGGCAAAAACCCTGCAGCCACTCCTCAGTTCAGCCTTTCATTTGCTTAACCTAAGGAACCAAATGAAAAATATATGACAACAAACAACCTGCAAACATCTCCCCATCTATTATACAACTGAAATCATAAGAAATGAGCTTGTTGAAATAACAAATGAACTTGCAATTGCTTTGCTTCGCATAACTCCCATATGTTTTTAGATGTCTTGAAAGACAACTTTTTGAGATTAATAAATGCCATGTGATACACTCAGTTCCTGTCCACTGAGGACTGGGCCCAATCACAGCTAAAAGCTTTTGCCACTTAGAATATGTATGGAGAACATCATGGCACAAATGGAAAAAATACATGTTTAGGGTTGTGAGAATATGCAAATGTGCTGCCTGGTCTCCATAATGTCCTTGCCATGCTCATAGCTTTGAATTTCTCAGAGGGGATGAAGTTTTACAGAGTAGAGGGCAAAGGGGGAAGGCAGCTGAAATATCTTCCAAGGGAAAGGCAATGATATTCCATGTCTTTTCTCCCTCATTTAGATTAAATAGGAACTACTAATTGTTTCATTCCCTGTTTCGTAATACAGCTAATTACTGAAACCTCACAAACTGAACTGATGTTTGGGTACTGGAAAGGGACTTCCTAGAAAGTTGTTCCCCTGAGTTGTGGGGAGTGTGAATTTCCTTTCAGCATGAGGAAGATTTGCATTTTGTGTTCCAGACAATCACTTTTTGCTCATTAAGTGATCCAAGGATGACTGGTCCAACGTGTGTGACCCAGTTGCAGCACCAGATTTACCACGTGTGCTCATCACTCAGCATGGAGGCTTGCACAGCTACTCTCCAGTTTTACTTGTCATTACTGAATTGCATGGGTGTTACAGCTTTCTATGTGCTGTTTCTTTTTGTTAAAATACTCTGAAAATGGTCTTCACATTCTGTATGCAGTCCATCAGTAAACACTAGATGAGGGTTAGGGAGTGGGCTGCAATGCAGCACAGTCTGGGATACAGACCACACCCTTAGAAAAAAAACAGCCTTTGGTGTAGGAAGCACAGGTTATGAAAAAGATCAGAGGGAAAAGACAGCTAAATGAATAGTATCTTTCGCAGATTTGTTTTTACTTAAATTTTTATGATCTTCAAAAAACACTTTCTGAAAGAGACAGTTTGTCTAAGTTACTATTTTACTGCCAAGTCATCAGTGTCTGCTGCAACAGAGCAAAAAGAGGAGCAGATGATATCAGATATACCCCACAGAAACCAGAAAACACAAAAGAATAAATTCTACATTAGAATTATTTTACACACTGTATTTTTAGTATACATAACAAAATTAATTCTAAATTATGTGGTTTGTATTATGACCACTAAATTCAATACTTCTCTGCAAGTCTACCTTCTTACCCAAGTGCTTAAAAATCCCTGAGCCTCTTCTGTACTCATCATCAAGTATCACTTGTACCTCACACCATAAATATGAATTTTTCAACCAAGAATACTGAAGAAAAAGAACTGACTACAGAAAATAATGACCACATCCAAACCATCTGTTAGGAAAAAAAAAAAAAAAATTACTCAAATCAAAATAATGTGAACACGAAGAGACTACAACTAAAAACATATAACTTATCAGTAGCACTTCTCTAAAATCCTAAAAGTAGCAATTTGAGACCCAGTAAACATATAAAGAAGTAAGCAATCTGTTTTTCTATGTTTAGAGCACAAAAAAAAAAAAAAAAAAAAAAAAAAGGTCTAAAAGCAATAAGCTCTGAAAAAAAAAAAAACATATCCCTAAAGCATACTGCTGAAAAGGCTTCTTTAAATCTTCTGAAACACATCTACTGACATCTGTGGAGATCAACATTTTCTCTCTTTATATTACATATTTTTTTACAGTGTAAAAGAAGTGAATGAGAGGAAGGCTGCCTGAGATTACAGCAGGAATAGGAGGTGGTGTAGAGGGACTCCCTGCTGGGAAACAACCCCTTGTGGAAAGGACTGAGCTCCCAGCTGCTCACTGAGCATGGGAACAAACCAGAAACTATAATTTTAAGGCTGATCCCATGTTATACCTGATTTTTATTTCACAGAGCAAGCTCCAACAATTACAAAACCTGTAACAACCCATCACTGGTGGGGCTTTGCCAGCACAGATCTGGAAGAGTTTTACAAATGTTAGTATGTAAATATTAATAAATACTTAAAGTGAGATTAATTGTTTTGTCAGGGAGCTTTTTTTTGAGTTTGAAGATTTTTTTTTGGTACGTTTATTGGTTTTTGTTTTTTGGGATCGTTTGTTTATTTTTAAGTAGGGAAATAAAGGTGAAAGATGAGATTAGGAAACTCTCTAAATGTCACATGACAAATAAGTGGTCAAGGGAACAAGGAAGAACCTATCTGTAAGTAATGTTGACATCTTTCAAGACATCCTGCAAGTGGTAAATTATCCTTTTGCATATTGGGCATGAACAGAAATTAGGTGATGGAGTGGAAAAAATGGACATTCATGAACAAGTAGTAAATTATCTGATATACAAAAGGTACTACTGAAAATCACCATGTTCTCCTAACTGTTGAATTCTTCTTTAAAATATTGCTACCAGTTCTTAAAAGAGTTTGCAAATTATCAATTGGAATTTGCATTTTAATTTAATTTGTTTCTGAGATTTGCCACTCTTTCTCCCTTTCTATGGCTTCTCAAAGCTGAAATTCACAATCATTCTGAATTAAATCCCTTTGGGTCTCATCACTGGAATCAAAGGAAAACAAATGTCTGGGGGAGAAAGGTTATTCTGGAAATCAGGTCTGCTGAAAGGAGCTGACATACTGCACAGCAATGCAGCTTGATTGGTTGTAGTTGTCATTTTTCTGTATCTTATAAAGGAATACAAAACTATATATCTTAGCTATGGCAGCCAAAACAAGACTTCTTAAAAATAAATGGTCTTGAAAACCATTTGGCCAATTTATACGTCAATTAGGTGAGACTCTTACTCACTGTACACTTCCTATTTAACTAGTAAATAGCAGCTAGAATAACTTGGCTGAAGACTGATAACCAGCTCCTGAAGGCTGAAGCATCACAGCTCCAGCCTTTCTTCATGCTCAAGAAAGGCTTCTCTTTAATGACCTCACTAGTTCTATTTCATAACATCTCTGCATGGCTTTTCTTGATGTATTTTTCCAATTTTTCCCTTCAGAGAGAAGATCACTATTAATTTAAGTGAGCTGAGGAGCAGTTCAGATGGATGGGTTTGGTTACTCTCCAGTGACATCCATGCAGTTTATTACATAAGCAGTTTACTGCAGTGAAGTCATTACACTGCGCCCAGCCACGGAGCAGCCTCTGTTTGCTTCACTCCTCAGCTCCTGTTTAACCACTTCCCTCCAAACAGGTGAGTGTGCTCTCTTGCTATAGCAAACCTTTACTTCATCATTTGTTTCCAGCTGACATTTCCTTTCTTCCTTTTTTTTTTGTTTTTGTTTTTTTTTTTTTTCATTTTTGTTAATATACCATAGATGATTACATAAGTGATTTATTACAGGAACCTTACTGTATGAGGGGCAAAACTTGTTTAAAAGAAATCCAACAGCTACAGTATTCCCTTAGGGCAAAATGTACTTCCACTTAATTTCTCTACAGCGTATTACACACCATATAATTGCTTAAAACAGAAGCTACACATACAAATTTTGCTTGGCACCAGATACCTGGCTTCAGAGAGTACACTCAAGTTACATGCTGTGTTTTGCTACAAATCCGTTGCACCACCTAAAGTATTTCAAAGAGATCACTAATAGAAATATTTTGAACTACCTAAAATAAATCAGCAAGTAAGCAAACCACAGTATTTTGCTAAAGGTTATATTAAAATAAGCCACAGTGTTCCTGAAAAATATTTTATATGTGCATGGCTTTAGCATTCCTCATGCCCTTTTTCCAATGTACTAAATAAAATCATGAGACAAACTTCAGAGATGGAAAATATCTGCTAGAGCATTTAGACCATCCCAGTGCCAGTTCAGGATTTTTTCCTTTATTTTCTAGTGTTTTGTCAAACCGACTTTTAAATACGCTGTATGTTCCAAGTAATGAGATTTCCACTACTTTCCCCTGGGAAATACATTTATATAACAACTTTCTTCCCCAAGGATCCCAAAGTGTTTTATAAAAATATACATACAAATCACTTCCCCACTGGAGTACAATCACTTATGAGGCACAGGGTGGCAGCCAGGAGGGAAATGACACACAGGACTCTGCAAATTTATAGCAGGAGGGAAAATCCTGCCCAAGGACAGAGGGGCAAATCCCTATCCTGACAACAGCCAGGAACTCACAGACATCCACAGACAGCAAATAAAACTGTGTTTGCAATCTGCATCTGCAGAAATGAGCTTGAGCACCTTCCTAGGCAAAGAATATCTTGGACAGATTTTGAACACAGTCATGGAGACCTGGAGTAGCTTGACAAAGTAAAGATGTCATCCTGGTAGGAATACCAGAGCAGGGACTGGATTCCTGAAACAGCTACTGGCTTTAGGACCATGCTTGGATCATTCCATCAAACTCACAGTGCCACTGATGTCAGGGCAGTCCTGGCTGCTCCATCCATCCAAGACCACTCACAGCCCACATTTATTTATTGCTCAACACAGCAAAGCAGAGCCCACCCATAAATGCACTGGGGACTGCCTGCTGCTCCTGGGCAGCCAGGGAAGGAAGGGGAAACAGGAATGCAGAAGGAAGGAAGGATGGCTTGGTGCTGCTAGATTGCTGTGTTTGAGACTGAATGCCATTGTACATTAAAAGATCAGAGTCTTATAAGGGCTAGGAAGCAAATAATGCCAGAAACTACATCATATTTGGAAGGTTAACAGTTTCCAAGTTCAAACCCCTTGGGTGGAGTTCAGGAATTTTCAGTGCAGATGGTTTGTAGGCAGAGGTTGAGGGTAATGAGAGTGTCAAACCTCATTATCAGCACTGTTTTAGCAACCTTTGCTCATCTTAGGGGGAGAATGAGAGGAAACAGGACAGTCTGTGCTCTGAATCTTCCTTCTGTTTGGTTTTGGGCATGAGACTTTTAACAGACCCAATCTCCTTGCTCACTATCAGTGCTCATCTAGGAACTAGTCTTATTTACAGGACAAAAGTGATATGTACAAGTGATTAGACCATCTTATTCTCACTTGAGAGGCCAGATGCAGCTTCTTGGATTCTCTCCACCTGGAAGTACACAGGGTATTGGTAAAACTGGACTAATAGATTCTGAAAGAAACCATGCTAGATAGCTCTGAATCACAGTCATTAAGCATACTTTTAGGATAGATGAACAAAGGATTTTCCACCTTCCCTAAAAATAGATAATTTTCTGCACTCTCATGGTGGGACACCACATCAGGCAATTGACTCTTAACTCATGAATGTGTTAAGTCTCACAATGCAAAGTCTTCTGCCCTGCTCCATGTGTGTTATAAACCTAAAAATCAAACTTATTTGTGCATAAGCACTGCCACTCTCCCAGGCTGCAGTATCATGTGCCAAACCTAACCACGGCTTGGCAAGCGTTTGTCTGCCCTTGCCTTCAGCCACCACCAGAGATGCACCATTCCTCTCCCTTCACTGATGAGCAGCACATTACTTTCACTTAAAATGCAGAAACGAGGTCTTACCCTAAAAAGAGAATTTGCCAGGTCCACGCTAATGCTCCTCGTTAGCAAATCCCTGCCCGGTTTGGCTCTGCCTGTGCCTGCAGCTGCACAGACAGTGACAAGCCATTGATCCAGTGCTACTGAGAGCCTTTGTGCAGAGGTGAGTCTTTGATCCTTCCCAGTGTTGAAGGAACACAGATGTGATTTCCGAGGGCTTTGCATAAGTTTCAAGCTTGTGGGATTATGGGTGCATAGTACAGTTCCTAAACGTCTCCAGTGCTGCCAGGACAGTGCTGATAATGGGGGTATTAGCAATGCAAAGGTGGGGAGCTGAGTCATTTTCCTGGGGAGGAGCCCAGCTCTTCCAAAGCCTTCTCTAAACCACGAGAAAGGTTTGAGAATGAGCCAGATGAAAATGAGCATGAAATATTTTACAGACACACAAGGAGAAACTTTGGCCACCAGGACACAGAGGGGGCTCGCTGTGGGTCAGAATGACTCCAGACAAGGTCCTGATTGCTGTAAGCCCATGGCTCAAGCAGGTCTGAAACATTAGAGGAGTTCATGTTTCTGAAAACACTGGATTACAACACCTTTAATCCTGACAAGCAGATACCTACATATTAAACTCTGCTACAAAGATAATATCCAGGCAGACACAGGGCTGCAGGAAGAGGTAGAGTGCCTCAGCAGTTTTGCATGACAACAAAATGAACAGCAACACATTCAGGGTGCTATTGAGTTGTAAACTATTACTGCTCTATTTAGGGGTTAGAAAGTCTGCAATGTGATAGAGCCAAGCAATATCATTTTTCCATGGGTAGAGTCATGCAGATACACACACCCTCCAAATTAATTTATTTACACAGTTTTGTTTCCAAAGATCCTCTAGCATGTGTATGCTGAGAAGCTGCCCAGGCCAGACAAGCAGATGTTCTACAGACTTTGGATCCTGACAGCCCATTCTCCAACCATTTCTGACAGCTAAAAAATCAGACAGTGCCAAAGCAGCATATTTAACTTAAGGGTTGCCAGAAATCAGATACCCACGCCTGTTTTCTTAAGGAGTACAAGGATATGAAAACCAGGAGTAGCATCATCCACTGCCAGATACATTTACATCTTTCTCGTACACAGCATGAATATCATGTGAGTCCATTGTGGTTATTTGTCATTAAATTAGACAGAAGTGATGAAGTAGGCTGTGGAGAATTCTAAGCTATGTAAACAATTAAAGTGTTCCAACTGCACACATTCATATTCCATGCTGTCTCAAGGAATAATTTAAAAAAAAAAAAAAAATCAGATTTGGTGTCAATTACATCACCAAAGTGTAGAAAATCATGGCTCTGAGCCAAAAAAAAAAAAAAAAAGACACCCTAAAAATTTACCAAGCAGTGGAATAAAAGAAGAAAGCAACCAATCCAAGTGATGAAAACTCCTTCCATAATGCCTAATTTATAGGAATTAAATCTGCTTCCACAAAGACCAGATTTTATTTTCTAGATAACATGATAAATGTATAAATGGAAATGAGTTCATTTCCATTGGAGAATGCATAGCTACAGCAGAGAAAGATGATTCACTCTTCACTCAGTTTGGACTTAGAATCATAGCATCAATAAGAAAAAGACTTTCAACACCATCAAGTCCAACCATCAAGCCAGCACCACTCCCATGGTCACCCCTAAGCCACGTCCTCCAGTGTCTGCCTTCACCCACGGTGGACTGAGGGATGCTGATCTGTACATCCAGCATGTTTTCGCTATTTAGGAGTTTCCCAGTAGATGACTGCATGGAGGAGCTGGGAAAAGGAAGGAATTCTTTGCTACTTTACCAGTAATCTGTCAGACAAGACCACTGCTTTGTACATTTTTGAACCCCTGTTACTTGTAGGTGAACAGCAAACTTGCCCCCAGTGCCTGCCAAATTAAACTGCAGCTCCTTGAGAGCCCCTGTGAACATCTCCTGTGAAGCACAGTGCTCATAAACACCTTCCTGCAATTCACAGAGATCTCTTTAATAAATTAACAAAGCTGTCACAGAAGTATAAATGGGAAATCATTTTTTAAAATAGAACCATTTAAGATCACACAATTTCAGAAGCCTTTTGCAACATTTTATAATTCCTTTAGGCCACTGCAGGTCTCCTTTACACTTGTGATGATGCCCCTTTCAATTTGCATTTAAAAGACAGTAAATTGCAGGGTTCATAAACATTTTTATAGTGATTTATTGAAGACTAGAATGACACTCCTGTTCTTCACACTTTAGCAGTCCTGGGAATCGGCTGCAGGGCTGTATGTGTAATCTTGCTTTATCCATAAACTATACAAGAACAAGGCAGTTCTGAAACCTATTATTTATTTTTTTTTCTTGCTTAAAAGACATTGGTGGCACTATTTTACATCTATATTTATCTTTCAGTTATAAGATGACCCATTTTATTCAGCCTTCAAGTTATAACCAGGTTTCCACAATTTACAAAGTACTTGGTTTGCAAATTAGAACTGTTCAGAGACAGGATTGCATTATGCCAATGAACAAAGGATTCTTTCTCTTCTCTTTTTAATAAAACACACAAAATCCACAGAATATTGGATTTATTATCACCACTAGATAACTTTACCATACAGGAATGTACAGAGAATTTTTTTTTTATTTAAAACCTAAACCACAGAAATGCTTTGTGAAACTTCAGCTAGAAAATATTCTAAAGGTTCTGCTCCTTCAAAGACAAAAG